AAACTAATCTATATCTTCCATCACACCACTCCCAATCAAATTATCAATATTTCTATTTGGATCAGCAAAGAAATAAAAAACATCCAAATCAATTATGTTAATGAGACCATCATAATCAGTAAAATTCGTTCCCATTATTTCCTTTTTCTTGATTGATTTTTTTGTAAAGATCCACAAAATATTTTGTCGTACGATAGCTACGTGTCCAATGCCCTTTCATTTCACATCTAAAACAACTTTTTCATGCTCCTTTTTGGATGTGCTACTTTTGTTTTGTTTTGTTTGTGCCTTTTACAATTGTTGCCTTGTTGTTGATAGCTTTGTTGATTATTTCGTCTATGACTTATTTCACGTACACATCCACGTCTTTGTCTTGATATTGCATTTGCTTTAGGCTACGAGTATCATTTGCTTCAGTCAATGGTACAAAACTAGTTAGATATAATCCATGATTTTTCATCGACAGTTCATTATTTTGTTCGGCTACAAGCATGCAAGATATGAGTTTAGAGTACCTTATGAAACCACGCTCACAATATTGCTCTGGAAGAGCATATTCGAGGATTGAATGGTGGAAAATGTTTTCTCCAACATATTTTCACCAGTGATTTTTTCTCCACAATTAATTTTGAAATATTTTGAACTGTTCAAAATGATACTCACTAACAGTTTTAAAGTTTTGCAAACGAATGTGCATTCATTTATAGAGGATTCTGGATCTTTCTACGTGAGATATTCAATTTTTAATCCATCATGAAGATGATGATGAAAGAAGATGAGTGTTTTTGTACGATCTTGCAAGGATTATTTGTTTCTCTCTTTTATTGTCTCTCACAAATCTTTTGAGACAAGATGAATGTCAACTTCAAGGATAGATATTTTTTGTCAGATATGTCAAGTGCAACAAACACAAGTTTTGTAATATTTGCAATTTGATTAACTGCACAATAAAGAAAATACAATTTGTTTCAAAAAATATAATTAAACATCACATCATAGTTAATCAATTAATATCAAGATGACATAAGCTACGAGTTTTTTCAGGGATAAACATTAAACACTGATTTAAAATAATATATTCTTCAAAACATGTGCTACTTTGAGAGTAAGTTATATTTTACTATTGCTTCTCCAGGAGCAATATGTCATTATTATTTTGGAATATTGATAATTATAATTTATAATTTTTTGGAACAAGTAATATTCTTCAATAATATTAATCATAAAGTTGTACTACTTTGAAAGCACGTTGCATTTTATTATTGCTTCTTCAAAAGCAATAAACCAATATTCTTCTGAAATATTAAAAATTATAATTTATACTCTTTAGGAGAAAGTAATATTCTTCAATAATATTAATTATAATATTGTGTTATTTTAGGAGTAACAATATGATAAATTATCAACTTAAAATTTATAGAAGAACATCTAAAAATGTTTAACCGGATTAAAAATAATAATTACCACATAGACATGATATAAACTTATTAATTACCAAACATGCAAAAAAAACTTCAAACATAAATTGATTTCGACAAACACATGTAAATGGTTGTAGCAAGATTAAAGGAAAATATAATTAATTAATTGATATAGGCAAACGGCACGCAAGAATCAAAATCAGGGTTATTGCGGCAGCTGTAGAAAATAATGAATATAAGAAACATATGATGATGCAAATAAATTGATAAATCCAAATTGATTGAAGCGGATGGTTACAGCTTGAAGGTGTTAGCTATACGTATGATTGTACATGAATATTATGGCAAAAGGTTTAGATGCACACAAATTTGTAGGGGTGGGCGCGGGTCGGTTCGGTTCGGTTCTCTTTAAAATCGAACCGAACCGAACTTTTCGGGTATCTAGTAAATGGAACCGTCGGGTCCAAATATAATTATAGAACCGTTCGAGTTCGGTTCTGTTCGGTTCGGTTCGGGTCCGTTCGGTTCTGTACTATAATTAAATTTTTTTAACATTTATAACAACATTATATAAATACAACTAATGATACATTCAATGGTTTTGGAATGTCAGAGACTGGTAAACTACCTTGTTCAAATGATCGTTACGATCAAAGCTTCGGTTGGCGAAGGTCATAGCTTCGATCGGAGGTCACAGTGTCGGCTGATGATTGTATAGGTTTTGGAATATTAGCGAGGCTGCGAGAGTGAGTGCGAGAGTCAAGACAACGTTATGCACTTTAGTGTTGGTGTTTAGGGTTATTTAGTGGATTTGATCTTGTTTGGCTAAGAAATGAAACAATAAAATGGGTAATTGGGCCAAAAATTAAAAAATTAGAAATGAAACAAATTATTTGGCCAAAAATTTGAATTTAGAAATCATTAATTTGTTTAGAAAAAATTAAAATTAAAATAATTTGATTTACTCAATATAAAAAAAATTAGAAATATTCGGTTCTTATTCGGTTTTTCGGTTCTTGGTCTAGAATCGAGAACCGAACCGTACCTGTCGGTTCTCAATTCAGATACCCGTTCGGGTATTTAATTTGACAAGAACTGTCGGGTTCGGTTCGGTTCAATTCGGGTTCGGTTCGGTTCGGGAGATTTGCCCAGCCTTACAAATTTGTGTGTTGTATGAAAAAAAAATTCACATGTAACCAAATTAATTTTGGTACATAAAATAGATAATTATGCTTAAAAAATTATTACATTCATTAAACTTTGGAGAATTAAACTTTCGTGCTTATAACGTGTTATAAAAAGAGATAAAAAGAGAAGAGAGAACGAAAGTCAATAAATTTTAGTATGTTAAAGAATAAAAGTCCTATATTTATAGGTAAGAATCAGGGATACAATGAAAGTAATTTTTAGAATTGTAGGAGTACATTTGTCATTTAATAATAAACTTACCATTTTACAACACTTTATGTATTATCTCATTTATTAAAATGTTTCAAAAAGGAGAAATAAAAGAAATAAAAATGTATAAACAAAAAAATTAAAAAACAAAGAAAATGGTTTTCTTCTTGCATTAATTGATTGATTCGTTCAAGAGTGGGCGACGGCGGCGGCTACGGCGGCATGGGGGGATAGGTGGAGAAGAAATCATTTTGTTACACATTTTTTAATTTTTTTTATTTAGGCCCCTTTCTCCCATTCTTTTTGAAATATTTTAATTGTTTTAAACGAGAAAAGATGCAAAGATCCTCTTTAAACTGGTCAAATATTGGTGAATATGTAACTTGTAAGTCAATAACGGTCTTTTTAGTGAAACCGTTCAAAGGACCTCGCATTACATATTAATTTAAAGGTTCGAGACTTCAATCAAAAAAATAAAAGATGAAAAGGACCAACGGACATAAATGATATAAAGATTTATTTATTGTTATTTTTTAAATCAAAATTGAAAGGATAACTCCAATACGATAGGAATCAGATTCAAGAATACCAAAAAGTCAAATTCCAATGCCAAATCTCAGTTTTTTTTAAACACCTTCTCTCCTAAATCCCTCAACTTTTTTCTCAGACTCAAAAATCATCCTTTCATTTTTGTCTCTCTCCGCCTTGCCCAACACTGCTTACAAAATCCTAGATGCAAAAAGTCCTAAACATATCAAGAATCAACTTAGACCAAGCTCCATTCTCTCTTCTCAATTTTCTGTTAACATAAATCTAACTAATGTTATTGAAGAATCATTGAATTCTACAATTAACAGTTGAATTGTAAAATTGTAAAATTCTGTGTTATTTGTAGAATTCTACCATTCAAAACGTCAAATTCTATAATTCACCAATACAATTTCTTGAATGTCACCATTGCAATGTTCTAAAAGCTTGGGCAAAACGACTCTTTCACGTTTAGACACTTTTTTTCCTTCCAAATTCTAAATGGTTGAATTTTTTCCTTCATTTCTTTCGTCATTTGTAGACATGCTTTATTAGTCTTTTTTTAAAATTCTTTTATTTGACTAATTGACTTTAGCTTTTATTATTATTATTATTATTTTTTTAAACTTGTCATTTGGCTTTAATTTCAAGTTTTTAAAAGATTTTATCTGTACAAAAGTTAAAAATGACTTTATCTAAATAGTTAAATAAGATTTAAGTTTTGGTATTATCTACATTATGTAATTACGGTCTTGAGACTCATTTTAATATTAACTCCGAAAGCATGTATGAAGTTCCCATAAATATATTAAGTACGATCTTTAGACTCATTTTATTACAAATTTCAAAAGTATGTATGAAGTTCCTATAAATCTATTAAGCTCCTGTTTGAGGGGCATTATTTTCTCATTTTCAAAAGAAATCCAACCGTTATTAGATCCCATACAGCCCTTATTTTTGACTTGCATCTCACCAAGTCTTGGAAGATTGTACACCAATGGTCAAAAAGCCATTTTTATGAGGAAATAATGCCCCTCAAATAGGTGCTAAGTAGGACTTGTCTACTTAAAAATTGAAACTATGAAAAATATTCTAATTTTACATTTCAAAAACATGAAAATTGTATAATTGACTAATGGTAGGAGCTATTAAGTAAATATTGTTTTTGATAATTTTAGATGTTTAATATGTATTATTTTAATTATTCAATAAATTTTTAAAATGACTAAAAATTTAAAATAATATTATAAATTAAAAAACATTTTTTTTAAGCTAAAACCTCACCTAGGCTCGCTTAAGCTCATAAAGCTTGAAGCTTCGACTTCACGCCTGATCACGTTTTACGCTTTTTAGAACAATGCACCATTGTAATATATAAAAAGCGTGGGTTTAGAGTTTTTGTCCTTTTTTGTATTTGGAGAAAAAAAGATGATTTTCAAGAAACGTGTAACTCCATGTTCAAGGATTCTAACTTTTTTTGTAAATAACTACATACTTTTGCCCCAAAAAAAAGAGATTATTATAGTTGAAAATATAGTTCAAACATCAAGAAAGATGATATATATATATATATATATATTTTAATTTAATTTATTATTATTATTATTATTTTGGTACTAACTGATGTTATCCTATGGAAAATTGCATCTAACAACTTCTCTTGGAAACTAATATGTTACTCTCAAAATTTGTACACCAACTACAAAGTACTATGAAATCTTGAGCATACGAAGAAGTGGCCACTTTTACAGAAGGGCATCTATGACATTTTGCATAAAAAAGTGGCCATTTTTGAAGTTTTTAAAAGTAGACTCATTTCAAATCCACCCTTCAGATTTGGCCACATCTCCAAATTTCCCTTCTCCAAACTAGGATGACAAGATTCACTTTCTACCTCCTGTTCCAATCCTTGGTTTGCCTTTGACTTCAGCCTCCTGCTCAAACAACAAAACATAGTGTGTTCAGGATTTAAAGCACCTCTAATGTCAAAGGTAAAACGTTTCCAAAAATAGATTCAAAAAGTTAAGAAAAGGACCTGTGGTAAATGCACGTAGATATGTGGTTTTGCTGTTGCCGGATTGTGATTTTCTGCACCCTTGCTCCAATCATAACAACCTGAAAACAAAATATTCAGGCAAAATTTTCAGAAAAGAAGATAATTTCGGAGTTAGGACAGCCCAGTAACTCATCTGAAAGTTTTCTGGTTAGTTATATTGAGAAAGATTAATGAGGATTATAATCGTTAAAAAAATTCAGCATCCACACAAATTGTTAGAACTTCCTCAAGCTGATTGCAGTGGAAGTAAAAGAAATATCCATCTCATGATTGCAGACATAAAACAATGATGCAACATCATAGAAAATATCTTTCTATGCACCAATCTTCTCTAGGAAACAACAATCCCTAATAATAATATGATTTAGAAAATGATGAACATCAGATAATATATATTTAGACATGTTAACAAAGGCTCACCGAATATGCATAAAAATGGAGCCATCGTTGTTGAAAGTGCTGCAAGGATGGGCTCACTGCACCTTGACATAGCCTAAGAAACACAGTGAAAAGATGAACACTCATGAGCATGCGAAACAATGCAATTGAGAATACAATGATAACTCCAAGCATTTCCAAGACTTGACAAGAAGGATTCCATAATACCTTAAGCCTCTGTTTGTTGTCCTTGTCCCAAAAGTTGAAGGCTCCATCAGATCCAAACGTTGCAAATGTGTAATGTATCTGAGACAAGGCATAGAGTATAAGATCCAGGTCATCAATAAAGAAACACGAATTCTATCAAACTTTTTAGCACAATAACATAAAATTCTTGTAGCATTGAGATCATAATTTGGGAAGTAGTCAATGAGAATAATTAGGAAGTAAGAACCTCTTAACATAAAAGCTAAACTGATTAAATAAATCTTTTAGAAGTTGGAGATAATTAGAAATTTATGAACCCCATATAGATAAGCATACAATTAGCCATGAATTTAAGATTTGATTCTCGACAATTTAGTGAAGTTATAATTCAATACTACTTAAGATACCAGATTGGTAAACATACAGACAAAACTAAGGAAAAATAATAATTATTTTCAGACCCACAATTCTTGACGGTAATCACATAAGAAGAAAAAATAGAATGATTCTCCATCTAACAAGAGGCCGTTAAGAGATTCCACCTCATTATTTTTCTTCCCATTTGTTGATCTCATGAAATGCTAAAAATGCACAGAAAAATTCTGCTTTTATTTCAATTATAAAACTTAAAAAGGTGCTCTCTCTAGATAGTGCTTCAAAAAAAACCAAAAGATCAACTTTAGGTAAAGGATACATATTCCATCCACAAACCGAGCTATGGTTGCCTAGTCCCAAGAAAGTTTTTATACTTTCTTTTCTGAAAGCTTGCGGACTATGTTGGCTGAATAAACTTTAGCATACAACACTAATGATTTAGGTATACACAATACATGTTCACCGACATAAACTCAAGAAGATACAAGCAAAATCCAGAATCCGACTTGCTAGAAAGTTTAAGACGCTAACAATTTCTATCCCTCCACATCACACAAAAAAAACCGAAAAGAATGAAAATGAAAGAAGGAAAAGAAGTAAAAATTAATGGGAGGATGGAGCAAGAGGGATGACAGCAAGCTCCAATGACATGCATCCTTTTCCTCTTTGTATTTAGATATTTAAGAAGACTACTGCACATTTCTCTACAAATAAGAAAAAATTATTTAAAAAAAAAAACATTTCTTCACAAATCAAAGAGGCAAAACACCCACAATTGTTATCATATTAAAAATTAAACCCTGCAATGCTGCACGGAAGAGAGAAAGCAAATAACACCAGAGAGATTAAGAGACAATCTTCTATCTTCTCTTAGGACTGCCAAAGTGCAGAGATCTCCCTCTGCAATTTCTTTTTGTAAGTTCAAGAAATGAATGTGGAAAATATCAGAATCTACAAAAGGCTCAAAAGTATCTAGTACAATGTGAAGTGGAAACCAGGTAGGTTAAGCAGCAAGTGTGCTTGCTATTTCCTTGCATATATTTGATTCATAAGGAAGTTTGCCAAAGTAGTACATATAAGACTTAATTGCAATCCTTGACATCAAATCTATTCATCCAAATTATTTTGAAATTCTACTTCTCACTGTTCGTTCACTTATCAATCAAACACCGAGAATCTCAAATTTGCATACAAATGGAAGTATCCCCGAATTTCAGTTTACTATCCTTGATAATGTCAGTACTTGTTCCTGCAGAACTCCCATTCTAGCTATAATCAAGCAAGAGGTATTCAATTAAGTATATGCATAAAAAATATTTAAAGATCTTCTAGTATCTATGAACGGCACAACTTGAGAAGCTACATTTTAAATCAAGCTGGCAAAATATGTGTAACCAATACAAGATAAGAACGTCACATGACAAAACACTGCAGCAGATTAAAAATAATCCACAGAATAAACTCAAGTCACAGAGAGTCAGATAGAACTTACTAAGAAACCTTGCTGACTGGGAAATCAGCTAAATACCTTGTCTGGTACTTCAAGGGTGAAACAACTCTCTTGAACTCAGCCTGTCATATCCCAAAAACCAATTAACCATGTAATGATGACATAAATTAAAGAAAATAGCTAGTAAATCTTAGAAAGTCTATTGGCATTCAATCAATAAAAATGTTGCAGAGAATGTCGCGAAAGAGGGACAATGAGAATTTAAGGAAGAGTATTAAATCATGGACAATGCTACATGTACATGATTTTATAACATATTACTTTACCTACTACTTACTATAGAGGGTGGGGACCATATTTGGGAATTTTTATATTCACGTGGGACCCGCTTGCTTTGTGAGAGGGGGGACAACTTTTTCGTACCCTCAATTCGGTACAGATAAAATTATTCTCAAACCATGGTTGTGTTGAAGAAATTTTGAGAATGCCATGCAATAATTTATATAAATAAGTAGCGAATAAACACTTTGGCAGAATTTCTACTTACAAAATGAGCGTAATAAAATTAGAATGATAATGGTCGAGATAAGAGTTCGACTCTTTCTTCTTAAAGCGACAATGCCCCGCACTGGTGCTGATGGTCTCTTGGCATTCGTCTCTCAAGATACAACGACCTCAACTTGTAATAGTAGCACTCTAAATTACAAAATTCGACGAACCTACTAATATTTTGATCTCTCCAAAATCAAAGGACTAAAATGTACAAAATTATTATTTTGGACTGAAATAAAAATATGGAATACTGCAGGATGGAATGACAGTATTTTGCGAGAGAAAAGTAGAAAAATTTTTGGAATGAAAAAAAATGGGGATCTATTTATAGAAGTTGAAAGGTTATGCCCAAAAGACACAACAGTCGAAAAGTTGTGTCTTGGAACAGACACACTCGTTTGGACAGGCAGTTAAAATTGTTAGCAATAATCAGTTCTAGAAGAAGCCACGTTTCGCGAACAAAAAATTCTGGGGAAAAAATAATATAACGTAGAAAATTTTTTTGGAATGAACAAAAACGGGGATATGGGGGTCTATTTATAGAAGTTGAAAGGTTATGCCCAAAAGACACAACAATCGAAAAGTTGTGTCTTGAAACAGACACAACTCGTTTGGATAGGCAATTAAAACTATCAGTAACCGTCAATTATAGAAGAAGCCACGTGTTGCACACAAAAAATCTAGTGAAAAAATAATATAATTAAAATATATTATTTAATTTAATAAAATAATATAATTAAAATATTATTGTACCAAAAATATATATACTAACTGGGCCCATGCCCACGTCTACGACCTGTGCGCGTGTTGAGCCGGCCGATCGAACGGTCATGATGGACGCGTGTGGGCTTTAGCTCAACCTACTAGCATGTAGGTTCTCTTCCATTCAAAGACTAGTGGCGCACCTTAGGGCCCAAACGCAAATCCCAAAGTTGAGCGATATAAAGTGGTTTCTATTCTTCTAGTTTTCCTACGTGGGATTGAAACTTTCCAATTTCCCACCAATTTTTTATTTCCAATTTATTTCAACTTCAAGTTATCCTATTTTGGATTTAATTTCTCATTCACCCTTAATTAGTTTTGAAAAAAAAATACATATATCAATTATACTCATGGAGTAGGATGCACTTAGCCAAAGAAATCATTTATCCAACTAACAGGACCCACTAAATAATTGGTCTAAAGTTGGTCAGACCAACTAATTATTCCAAATTTTCCAACAGGTTGCAGAACAACACATCCCATGAATCCGAACTGCAAATTATTGTCATGAGTTGGTTAAATATTAGGGAATGCCAGAAATATATACAAAGGTTTAGTGCCTATATTCTCACAATCAGCTGATGATATACAAAAGATAGAAAGAAAAATAATAAGGCAGCATTTCACCAAAAACACGTTTCTATCCTGATGGTACCAAACAACACATTTTCATTGTTGTTGATCTGGCAAACCCATAAGAAAGTGCAGTGTGATGGCCTTATTACGAAAGAGGGCATATAATCATTTGGCCAATGAAGTGGAGGTACAAGTTTCATCAACCATTTTTGAGAGGCTTATTTTTATGAGAAAATCTTCTCTAACCAAACAATCAACAAATACAAGGAAAGAATTCGATTAATATAACTGAGAGTTTGATGAGGACATCACCTATTTTGGACTTGAGTTTACCAGAAATCATCAGGACAAAATCTTCAAGCCTCAAAGATCTTAAGGAAATTAACAATAACAGCTTATGTTGAAGGAGAAACTTAACTGAGATTTCTCCTTGTACACGTGATTTTCATCTCTCTCTGTATCTCCATCAACAGCGAAAAATTTCCAAGGGAATTAAGTAACAATTGGAAGATCATAACCTGTTGAAAACGCTCACATCTATAGATCAAGGTATGCTTCTACTTTTAATCTTCTCTTTGATTTCAACATGGAGGATTTATGTATTTTTTGTGAAAGGATTTGGTAATATTTTGGTTCCTTTCAATTACTGCATAGTTTAGTATAGTAGTGGGGACTGGGGAAACATATAGGTTTTTAATGTGGAATCTAGGTTTTTAAGTGATAGGTTGGGGTGAAATGATAATGGAGTAGTCGGTGTTTGCAATCACAATCTCTGAGTTTCTCTCCTTAATTTTCGGGATTTCGCAATTTTCACGGGTTTCTGGCAACGTTGAACGTCTGTTCTTCTGTTTTGTATTTCAACTGAAGTGATTTTTATGCTTCAATTGAGTTTGACTGTATTGCAATTGATATGTTTCCAGCCTGTTTCTTGTTTATTGTAAACTCAAATCATAGATTGAAGACCTATTAAGTTTCCATTTACAAAGTTGGGGGATTCGTTCTTAGCTGTAACTTTGGAAAATTTCCTCCTTTTTTGTTCTGCTCAGGAAAGTTTAACTGTTGACTTGACTTGACCATTGTAACAATGAAGAAAAACATTTGTGCGGTGCGTCTGAGGCGAATTTTCATAAACTAGTGAACTCATATTTTGTTGGCCTTGCAAATAAATGTGTAGATTTGTTCGGTAGTAGCTTAACTTAAATTTGTAAAGAAAATGGTCATCGATATTTGCTAACTGATTTACGCGCAACAGGCGATGCCTTGAATGCTTTTAAGACAAACTTGGCAGATCCTAACAACGTTCTTCAGAGCTGGGATTCTACACTCGTCAATCATTGCACTTGGTTTCATATTACATGCAACAGTGACAATAGTGTTACTAGAGTGTGAAACTGATTTGTCCTTTCCATAATTAGCTACACGAGTTGCATTTTAGTATTAACATGATCCTCGAATTATGGAAATTATTTTTGTGTACGCTCAGTGATCTCGGAAACGTAAATTTGTCCAGTCAACTGGTTCTGGTGCTCGATCTGCTCCCGAATTTGCAGTACTTGTAAGTCATGCTTTGAAAAACATAATCATGTCATTCACATTTTTCCACTACCTTCTTGTTGATTTGTTTACACTCTTGTCTGTATCACTTACTATGGATTCACATTATACATTTTTCGACCTACAGATGAGAGATGAAATATTTGAATATTTCTTACATATTTTTATCCCTTCACTGACATTTTACATTCTTTAATCACCGTATTACAAAAAAAAAAAAAAAAAAAAAAAAAAGGAAGCTAAAAAGGGTTTAATTTCCCGTGTTCTGTCCCTTTCCTCAAATGATGATGAAAAGGACAAGTGGTATTTGTAATGTACTGTGTAAAAACAATCAATGCATGTAACTTTGTTTGATCTTTGCCCTCGGGGACATAACTCAGTGGTGCAAAAGACAGGAGTGAGATAGTCTTAATCGTGCTGGCAGTCGTAGTGTGAGGGTTCGATTGCTGAGATATAAAATTTGACTCTTTGTGGGCATCAGTGTATAGGTAAGATCTTGTTCCCTAACTTGTTGGGGCACATCCTGCGATTTACCTTCTTCACGATGCTTCAGGGGCAGGGCGTTGGGGGCCCTCAAGATTGGAATTCAACCTTTTTTTGTTTGATCATTTATGGGAATTGGGAAAAATTGTGAATTTTTTATTTTTATTTTTGAGGTATAGTCCAATTTTAGTCCAAATATAAAAAGTTAGTGTAATCACCAAATCTTGTCTCACTCTTGCATTTTTCTATTTATCTAAATATATTAGACTAATAATATGTGAGATCGATATTAAAATTATTACCATGAGTTGATTTAGATCATTTTTTATATATCCAAGTCTTTTTACAAGATTAGGCCATAGTTATGACTTGTGATAACGTGTTATGTATTAAGCTAAAAGTTCTTATCAAAATCTCTCCTATCTAGTATTATTCAGTGTACACATTAATTTAATTATTGAAGGACGAAGCTTTGTTGTACTTTGCTGGAAAATATTCTTGGGACACTGTGCTTATATTTACAATTTTGCAGGGTATACATAAAAATGTATCTTTCCCCATGTCAATTTACTGAAAAAGCAAAAATAATTACCCACCAAATCTGGTGATTATACTTTTTTACTTTTTGACCTTAATTTAAGGTAGATTCAATGATTATGATTAGCATAATGACTTAATTGAATGCTCTCTAAAAGTTTCAATTGTGAAATTCAAGTTGATCATCTTTCTTTTCCGAGTGGCAACAAAATTTAGTTTTTTCATAATAGTATTCAATCATTCTATTTAGCCCAACCTATCAAATTTGACCTTCAAATTTTAATATATCACACCAAAATTAGCCAAAAAATGATCGTAAATTTGTTGTTTATCTAATTACTGCACTCGGGCGATGATTAACAAGCACCCGGAGAAAATTAGTGGGATATTAGAAGAACGTAATCATACTTTATGAATAATCTCGTAAGATAAACTTTATAATATCACACAATATTAAAAGAAACAAGTTTGCATCAAACAACCTACTTTTATGAAACATATTGTTCGGAGTTATAGTTAACCAATTATTGCTTTAATTATATATTTAGAAATTTATTTGTTTCTCTAAACTGTAATGCTGTTAAAGCATTTTATTCGTTGATCCGTAGTCTGAATATTAGCTACCTCACGTATTAGACATTTGAGAGACCTTAAATTTACATGTCTACTTCTCTGCACCAATAATTTTTGCAAGATGCTCTTTTTATTAGTGATATTTAGCCCTTGTTCGAGCTCTATTTTTCCAAAACTCATTTTGTCCAAAAAATCACTACTCTAAATTCTTTTAATCCCAAAAAAAAGGGCTCAAACAAGGGCTTAATTTATATATTATCATCTTAACCTTTGTGTACGTCTCCTTTTTTATTTTTTTTGATATGTATATGGCCGGGAACTTTCCAGTAACAACATAAGTGGAGGAATTCCAATTGATCTTGGGAACTTATCAAACTTGGTGAGCTTGGTCTTTACGCGAACAGTTTTAGTGGTCCCATCCTCACGACCTTGGGCTAGCTTCAGAGATTACGTTTCCTATACGTGATACGACTTTTTGGTTTCTTATATAAATATATATTTTTTGGTCTCTTTCCTTTTCTTTAATTGAAGATTTTGCCATTGAGAAAGGTTACAAATTGGCCTTAGATAGTTGTTTATGAAAGCCCCAATATGAACACTGTGAAGAGTTCCTAATTGTTTTTCCTATATTTTTCTCTTCTTTGAAAGTAATTTTGTTCTGTCTCTTGAGAATTGCTACAATTATCATGCCCCTACAATTTACCAAGTGAAAAATTGGACAATGCGAGAATCTTTCAGCTCCTACAATATTAATGCCCAATAGACAAATTATATGTGAAGAGGGTATTAATGCATCAGCTCCCTCTGATTAGGTTCATTCCTAATTATTGAGAAATTTTCAGATTACTTTGGATAAGCTGTTTTTTATGTAATTAATTGCTCAGATTCTTCAAAACCTAATTGTGTGTGTTTATTGACTACATAGGAGGCTCAACAATAACACTTTGACTGGAACTATTCCTATGTCTCTGACCAACATCACTACCCTTCAAGTCCTGTAAGCAGAGGATTAATAGATTTTATTTTATCACTGGTGGTTTTCTTTGCTTCTTGTTTTTGGCAGACTAATAATCATTTTCATGTATGAATACAGTGATCTGTCAAATAACAATTTATCAGGGACGGTTCCAATCAATGACTCCTTTCAACTTTTCACACCTATCGAGTTTAGATAAAACTGATTGTACAGCACCCTCACTGTGCTGTGGGGCTCGCGCCATATATTTATTGGCACTACCCCCGATGTGAGAGTGCTGTGAACCGAGCTATGTGTCATGCTGTGCACACAGCTTGGTCCATCAATTTTAGTGCAATTACTTCTGTCTTTTCTATGCTAGACTAAATCAATCATTGAGGTCTTGTTCTGATTCCCGAGTTCCTATCTTCCAGTTTCAACAATAATCCTAACTTGAAACTTGCTCCAGTATCTCCACCACCTCCACTACAACCGACAAACCCATCTTCATCGCGAGGTTCATTAATTCTTTATATTATATCCTTTGATGCTATCAAGAATTGCATCATATATCTCCATGATATGACTGTTTCTCAATGCGTAAACATATATCTTATTTGTAATTTAGCTTTATGTGGGCCAAAGAGATAACCTGTATCAGCATATCAAATTAAAGTAGATTTCGACTTTTGAAAATAAAATAATCCAAAATCAATAGTGCCCTTTAGCTAACAAAAAATATGTTCAACACTATTTCAATATCTTTGAGTTAGTGTTAAGCTGTATCTTGTATGAAGACAAAAAAAAAAAAAAAAAAGGTTATGTCGGGTTGAGTGCAATTTGCAAGATAAGTTAATACTTTAATTGCATTAAGATATAGTATTTCGGGACCAATAAATTTTTTTTCCATCTTCAAGTGGATGAAATTGATATTTTTTCACATCGAGTGATTGAACAACCTTGATTCCATTGGATGTGCATTATCCATATAAAAGTGCTTAAATATTTTTTCTATATAAGTAGATTGATAAACAAATAATCTTTCTGAAAAATGTTCAATCCATAATCCGAGACACAATTAGGTTTTTCCCAGATCTTTCATCTCAAATTCATTTTTCAAATATTATACAGTTTTGTTTAGTTCTTCAGAAGTTTCAATTAAATTTAATTCATCAATATAAACTGCCACAATTGTAAATCCAATATTTGTTTTCTTTATGAAAATATATGGCCAAACATCGTCATTTTTATAATATCCCTTCAACAAATATTCGTTAAGACAATTATACCACATGCGTCCAAAATTATTTCAATCCATATAATGATCTTTAAAATTTAACCCTCGTTTGCGCGCCATTACCGTAGAAAAAATGTATTCTTCTATCACATCACATGGTGCACCATGTGAAAGCTAGTCCAAATGGTGTTATGCATGTATATGGGCAACTTCCGATTTTATCCCTATCTTGATACGTGAGCACGTATTGTTCCAAACAAAAGCCATGCATCTTTGACTTTTCCAAGTTCACTTCGACAGATTTTGTTGTCAATTCAACGTCAACAAATTCCAAGTTCACTTTAACAGATTTTTGTCAATTTAGTGTCAGAAATAAGGAGGAAAGAAAGGGAAATTTACAATGATGTCTAATCTCATGCGTATCAATTGAAAAGTGTCTAATTTTGATCTCTTACAAAAATGGTAAATTTGATATTAAATTATCTATATACCTTAATGAAAAATGAAGCAATTTTTTATTTCAATTTATCACGAATTTCAATCATAGTTATTAAACCTGGACCATTAGTCGACCCGAAAAAATTATAGGGTCATCGGG